AGGGTATTGGTATTTTAACTGGGAATATTTATATCACAAGTTGAATGAATGACTGAAGCTTCAAGAATTTCAAGTAATGGGGTTCAGGACATGCTACCCCAAAATACGGCATCTTGGCAGGCTGAATATTTTAAGCTGAAGGAGTTTGAGAAACGGCATGTGCAGGAAGGACTTTCTGATCTTCTCTTGAATCACGTTATAAAAGCTTCAACTGAGAGGTGCCCTCCCTGTACCCAGGGGACAGGAGCATCCTTATCTCCCAGACAGAGGAACACCAAGAGGAACTGGACGGACAGGCCTTGCTCAGTGTCCCTAGTTTAACTGCCCCTGCCTCACACCCTCTGGCCCTATTGCTTCTTCCCACGACTGTCCACTCCTCATCAAACCTAGCACAAAATGCTCAGGTGTAACCACTTCTTCAGGTCTTCCTGTCCTTATGAAGCCTCCTGCATCACATAAAACTTATATGAAATACATGTGTGTGCCTTTCTCTTGTTAATTTGTCTTCTGTTACAGAGGCCCCAGCCAAGAACTTAGAAGGGTAGAGGAAAAAAATTTTTCCTCCACTACACGTGTAGGAGGGTTCTAGCGGGTGGTAAGGCTGTCCCTTATATTCATTGGTAGACGGTCACTTGTTTTGCTAAAAGATAAGATTGCCTCCCTCTTCATAAACAATCATTTCAATTATTTTACACAGGTAAAAAAGACGACATGAAACTTAATTTTAGGCATTTAATCTCCTGAAAGCACAAATTAGGAAAACAAAATTTTCACCTATATGAAGATGTAAGAACTGGGTTAGACAAAATATTCCCATTTAAATGATCTATTAAAGCAAAATAGAGAATAAAAATGATATAGGGAGACTATAAACAATTTTAAAAATATTATAAACAACACTTCAAAAATAACTTACTTTCTTTGGAGAAGGAAAAGGTATTACAGAAAGTTTGTTTTTTTTCTCTACTGTATAGGACTACATTTTGTTGGCAAGGAAGAAATGAAATGATTTAAAAAAATATACCAGTATTAAATATTTATTCATTTCTTAAACAGATTGGTAAAGTCACAGAAATCCCAGAGTTTAATTGCAAAGATTTACCTTGGTCAGAATTAAGAGTTACTCTACAAAAATGATTCCTTTAAAAAAATATTATGAGGATTTCAATAGGCTTTAATGTGTCAAGTTTTAAAACACCAACATCTCAGTGATAGTTTTAGGGAAACTTTAATAAAAAAATATTTTGGATGGATTAAACCTTACGTATTAAGTCATTATGGTAGGAAAGAACCCTTCTAACATGCTTCCTCCCCCAAAGTATTCCAACTTTGCTTTCCAAAATTTAAAATAGTTCTGTCTTCTGTGAATCTGTGGCTGTGCCCGTAGGAAGACAACTACTGGTGGGTTTGTTCCCTTGGGATTAGGCCCCTATATACACAGCCTAGAAGTAATAGCTGAGTTTGTGTGTAAGATCTGAAGGAATGTGTACAGCATCTGAACACACAGTTTGGATCAACACATGTCTCATTCAGTCATTAATTTATATTAACTCATTTGTCTCAACTTGTTTATGCTAACAGCCCTATGCAAAGACCAAATAGCCACCTGCTCAAAGCTTAGGGGCATGAGCTTGGTCTACCAGCTGCAGTTATACGGCCGTGTGCAGGCTGCTTAGCACACGCCCTTCACTTTTTTTTTTTGGTGAGGAAGACTGGCCCTGAGCTAATATCTGTGCCAATCTTCCTCTATTTTTTTTGTATCTGGGATGTCGCCACAGCATGGCTTGATGAGCGGTGTGTAGGTCTGCGCCCAGGATCCCAACCTGTGAACCCCGGGCCGCCGAAGCGGAGCGCATGAACTTAACCACTACACCGGCGGGCTGGCCCTCTGCTTAGCCTTTTTAAGCCTCAGTTTCTTCATCAGTACAATAGAGACATTAACAGTATCGACATCACAGGGCCAGCACCACGCTTGCACACTGTGAGAGCTTGATGATAGCAATTATTAGAAGTCAGTTCACTTAAATCTCTTCATTCCAGGTGCCTCTTGTTCTACAACAGCAGCTAAAACCTAACACTGCTGCCGTGGACATCTGCATCAACAGGACAGTAAAAAGTCTTAAGCCAACAGCATAGGTATCTCATTGTAGACTTGCAGGAACTAGTGATCACAGGTGTCCTAGGAATTGGGGCATATTAGTAACCCTGAGAGCAGACTGCAGAGATTCTGACCGTCCCATGCCTTCTCTTGGCCTCAGCGACCTTAACTCCTGACTGCATCTCCTCCTTTGCTAGCCTCCTTGCTGGCACGAAACGGCCAAGCAAGTTCATACAGTCGGCTCTTTATCCTCGCTCTTCCTTCTGCCTGGAATGTCCTTCCCCATGGCATTCGTAGCCTGCCTCTGTACATCATACAGTGCTGCTGAAATACCTGCTTTTCTCAGAGGCTTTACTTGACTACTTGACCAATCTCTATCACTCTCCATCCTTCTCCTGGCTTTATTTTTATATGTAGCACGCATGCTATTTAAGATTATAGGATGGATATATTTATCTCTCTCTCCAATAAAAATGTAATTTCCATGAATGCAGGGAATCTGTCACTTTGTTCACCAGCAAATCCTCAAAATCTAGTATACTAACTCCTGACTGGCACACACTGAGACAGCCAATAAACATCTGCTGAATGAATGAACGCTGGCTGACATGAATGCTTCCAGCTCTAAACTACGACTCGACTGACTTCTTGTAGGTACTGTCTTGCTTCTGGGTTTAAAGGAAGACAGACTTCAGAAGTCACTGGATCCCTTACAGAATGCAAGAGGGCTCATATATTGCCAACTATCTCTTTATGTTATAACTGTGAAGAGTGCAGGCAGGAGGCTGTGGGGCACTGTGTCTGCCATCCTGCTTTTTTCCTTAAGTGATATTTTCTGAGTGCCTCTTTCTGATGCTGCAGCTGCAAAACGAACAGGACTGAGCCCTATCGCTGCCTTGCTTCTCTGACCCAGATATGACTTTCTTGTTGATGCTTTTTTGTTTGTACCACTCATTTGGCACTTAATACATGTTGTCTTTACTGTTCATTTATTTGCCACATGAAATATTTTACTGTTTTATATTCTTCATACTAAAAGCAACCTAGTGAATAAGAACTATTTTTTATACGTTTTCTTAAAAAATTATTGACAGATCTATAGAGAATAATATTTGTTGGTTGCTATTAATGATGATATCAAAAAAAAAAATCAAACATCCCATTCTAACATATTAATTTGAAGCACTAAATTTATGAATGTCTTCATTACTATGCACACATTTTTCCCTTGCCTTTAATTCCTTGAGAACAGGATTTAAGATTAATAGAAATGTTACTTATTTCCTCATAATGTAATCAAATGCTCTGCATCATAAGAGATTATAAAAGGTCTGAGTTCTCCAGTCTTGGAAAGCCACAGGTAGGTAGTTTAGATATCTCAGTCAACAGGGATCTTAGAACCTACAGCTCTGCATTCTTTACTGTGTTCTTGAGACTAGAAGAACCTAATGATAACCCATGACTCTTGGAAAGAGGTTAGCCTGTGGTTTCTCTCAAAGTGCTGTGATGGATACACAGGTGTCAACATTTGGGATTTAGAGGTGGGACAGAAGTAGATATGTGGTAAAATAAGAGGATATTGGAAGGAAAAAGTTAGGAATGTTGTGAGAATAAATGGCCCAACTATACGAATACCTTGGTTTTAAAGCAGGCTTTCAAAAGGAGAGTTAGAAAATTTCACTAGTGGAGTCCTTGGAAGGGTCATAAAAGATGGGTGACTTGATTGTCCCTTCTTCATTCTCTTGGCCTCGCTCCCACTCTAAAGTGGCGCAGAGCAATCCAGATTCTCTCTAGCCTGCAATTGTAGACGGTAAAACAACCAGGCCAGGTCCCTGCCTCGTTCCAGCTGTGAACCTAGTATGGTGGGGTGACTCAGAGGCACTCCTACATTAGTAGACATATCCATCCTCGTCAGAGAATGGGGCTCAGGCTAGCTCTGCTTCCTGCTGTCCTTATGTTTATTCTGCAGAAAATAAAGAAGAGTATCAATATAAAAATCAGAATGTGAGGTCTGGAAAACCTTTGATTAGTGTCATTTTCAAATTGTGTGTATTTTAAAATTCCAAATAGTTAATTATTTGAAAAGAAATATCAGAAGAGTGGTGTGTACATAAACTGTTTTAGCAATAGTCTTTAAAATTAAAATAGGCACCATAATGCTATGCCTTTTTGATGATTTTATGGGAGACTAGGACTAAAGGCCTAACCAAAATAAAAATAAACTAAGAAGTTAAAACATCAGAAGTATTTTAAACTCTTGAAGTAACAGACAATAACAACTTCGAGAACCAGCACTGACCAGTCAACTGGAATCCATGCTTCTTTGGGGGCCCACTCACCTCTTCTGCTAAGGAACTTCCAGTACCCCTGAAGCCCTAACAACCAGGAACATGAGCATCTGTGCTCTCTCCAAACTCAGGGGTCTCCCAGTTTAGGGAAAATAGAAAGCAGTAACTTCACAAAAAGACGGGGATGCATCATCTGAAATAGTGGGCTCTCAAATAGTATTCTTAGTATCTAAGATTCTATGGATTGCTTCAGGAGTTCTGTAAACGTATAGCTTGAATTCCGTTTCAAAAACTGTGATTGAAAATATGCACATGAAAACTTATATGCCAATTTTAGCATCTAAGAAACCACCAACCTGCTAACTCATTTACATATAATCCTCATTTATAGTTAGTAAATGCTGTAACTGTTATGTTAACTTAAGAAGAAAATTAATTATAAAAATTCTTAATTTATATTTTATATATTGAGTTTCTAAGAAAGATTTTATTTTAAAAGAGAATTCAGAGGAATCCCAGATGTATTCATTGTTTTTACCACACGCCCTTTAAATGGAAAGGAAGCAATATGAATAAGGCAGCACCCCTCTTTAAACCGTATGTGTAAAGGATACTCTTCCGTATTCCGGATGTCAACGACCAGGAGCTTTGGTTTACTGGACTTCGTCTTCTTGGTGGGTGTTTTGAAGTGGCCTGTCACTGTGAGCTCACACAAGTCAATCAGGTCCTCCGCTGAAATCCGGGGTGATACTTCGGACTTCAGGTCATTTAATGGGATGGATTCTCTTGACTGAAGAAATGTACAAACAACACAAATATTGAGAATATTATAGAGACAAACCATAGCCAGTATAGAATATCTTCAGGTTCTTGAGCTCAATCACTATAGCACATGGGAGAACAGGAAACTATCTCATTTTAGCAGTAACTGTAACCGTATTCCTTCTGACTGTGCACCTGTAGTCCTGTATTCCTTCCTACTGTCTAACTGTATCTATTCCGACTGTGTAACTGTAGTCCTTACCACTGTATAACTGTATTCCTTACTACCTATACCGAGGTTTATGTTTTTAGTAGTCACACATATAGAAAAGCATTATTCTTTTGCATCACTACAAGCTCTTGGCTCAAATGTGATAGATAGAGATGAGGCAGATTTTTCTTTATGAGAGCACCATGTATCTTTAAAAACAGCTCCTTTAAGCACATTTCACTTTTCTTCAAGTATAATTACTGTTGCTGTGAATCACATTAATTACAACTCTGGTTAATATTAGAAATTACATCAAAACTCAGTATATATACTAATTAAAGAAAGTGGTTCTAATGTATGTATTGGTCTTTTATAATAACTTGTTATATATGAATGGTTGAGTGGAAATTAGATTCTCAGAGATGAATGAAGAACAATACAATGCTTTCTTAGTAAACCAAATTGTCAATGTATCTTGTGAAGGAGGTAAAAATCAGACTCCAGGCTATTAAACCAGTAGGTTGGTCTAGTGTTTGTTATATGGCATAAGTCTAATTCAGACTAAGGGCTATTTATAATTATTCTCCATGTTATTTAGGAGGGAGAAGGATTTTTTCCATCCATAAAAGGCAATGCAATAATACTTGACTCAATTCAACATAAATTTATAGAGCACTAGCAGTCCCTCTTGAAAACTTACTTAACATAACTTGAGAATGTAAGAACTTTCAAAATTCACTTGATTGAAACATGGGGATTCAAAAAAAATTTATTTATATGCTTAATAAGTTTTCAAAATTGAGTCTAATTATTATCTCTACTCATTTTCTTTCTTATCTCAATTCCACTGTGGGATTCCACATTTAGAGTTTCCAATTTAGAATTTCTAGGCAGGAGAGAATAAAGCATATGAATCACTTATCAGACAGATTTATTTTGGAAAAAAATTGTTTTCAATTGGAGTTTGAATGTCAGCTCTCATCCCTTGGGTTTCCCTGACTAGGCCGTAAACTCTTTACTGGTAAAGCACTTGTTCTCTCACTTTATTAGCTTTTAAACAGAAATGGAAATTGCTAAGCTTTATGGGTTTCTGGCTCTTAAAAAATAGGCATTAGGAATTTTAATTTTTTAATATTAGGAATTAAAGCTACTCAAACATTCTGAAATTAAAAGTGCTTCAGAAAGATTAAAGAGCTTTAAAATCAGCAAGCCATACAATCAATGCTTCCATCTCCTTTTTCATTGGATTGCAAGCTCTACAGGTATTTTTCCAAGCCTTCATATGAAGTCGTACATTTATGAAGATAAAATAAAGAAATTTTGATTACCCTAGTTCTGCTTTTATTCTTTTAGTGATGAATGTGGCATTTCAAACAGAGGTTTCATCTGAATGAAAGGTGTGCCCTAGCTGATGAAGAATATGATTTGACCCAAGTATTCTCTACGAAGAACTGACTGATTTAAGAAAGATTAGACCTCGGCATTGGTCCAATCAAATGCATCATATACAAGGAATTTTTCAAAGGAAAGAGCAATTGCTATGTGAAATGGTAAGAACAGAAGGAGAGAGGAATCACTGAAAAATTCATAACTTTCTGAACTTTTGTAAGTGTGTATCAGTAAAGAACTTTAATATGATGCATGCAAGACCCTCTGCAAATTAACTTTAGGAGATTGTTAGATTTAGAACAAATTATACTATTTTGCTTTATGAAGAAAATAATTATAATATTAAAAAACACAGAATCTAGTTTTTCTGTAATTAGACAGTTTTATATGCAATTTTGCAATTCATTGTGTAATTTCCACTTAAGAGGCATAAAAATAAAACTTTCTTGTAAAACTTTCATCTTGTTTAATATCATTGACTTTGGCATTTTCTTGTGTGACTGGGGTTTCAAATTCATGGGGCTTTGTTTATGAACAGTGGACAAGAATTTAGGATAGCTATAGAGCAACTCTGGAAATGTCTACTAATTTATCATCTCTGCCCAAGAACCTGTATACACGATGCATAGCAAGCTTAGATATCCAAATATCAGAAACTAATTTGTCTGAGAACTACTTTCTTTTTTTTTTATAAAATTCATATTCTATTGTCAACCTAGAGACAGAATTTATTTAGCAATGTTACTGACAGAAATCATCTTTCAGAGTCGGCTCTCTGAAATGGCTATCTGGATGTATTAGTGATAATACTAACCAAGCAAGCAAAAATCTAAACCTGGTAACAAGACACGCATTTTGCTGTATCCATTTAAACTATCGGGAGACTCTGTCATGATACCTAAGAACTGAAATGGTAGACTTTTAGTGTGAGAGTTTGCCTGTGTATCCTTATGTTGCATATGTAACCAGCACCCATAAGGGCATAACTGTATACATTTATACTTCATATGTAAAAGCTCCTAAATAACTATAAAGGCATTTTAACTATGAGAATAGAGGGCTGGTATCTAGAACACTTCCCGTATTTTCTGTCATGGATCCTGGCACTAACTTCAATCTAGTTACCCCAGACAGAAACCTGGAAATCATCATCGACTCTTCATTCTTCCTTATTCCTCATTCTCATCCAACACATCCCCAAGTTCCATCAAGTATCTCTTGAGACTGCTCCCTGACTCACTGCCCTGTCCAAGGCCTCATCGTCTTTCACAGGGACTATGGGAGCTATCTGCTTTCTCTCTATCCTCTTGGTTCTCTGCTTCCCTCTTCACATAAAGTCATTCCTTCTAATCCATCTTATAAATGCCATTTGAGTGAAAAATAAAAATCTGATCTTGTAACTTTTATAATGAACAACACCTCAACGGCTTCTAGACACTGACAGAATGAAATCCAAATTCCTTAGTATAGCATATAAAGCCCTTTGTGAACTGATCCCTGTCCACAGTAGGCAGGAAACCAGAGGCTGTGGAGTAAGACTACCTGGACTCTCCCCTGCACTTATCAGTATGTGACTTTGGGTATGATATTTAACCTCTCTGTCCAATTTCTTCATCTATAAAGTGGCATAACAATAGTTACCTGAACCCTCCTGGGCTCCTGTAAGGATTAAATGAGTTAGCCTATATAAAGTATTTAGAATGGTGTTTGACATGCTGTAAGAGTTCAATAAATGTTTGCTATCTTCTATCTCTTTTCTCATCCTCACCAACTGGGACCTATGCTTTGGCATCAGTAGACTATTTGCCTCTTCACACCACTGTGCCTTTGTATGCGTTGCTCCCTCTGCTGAGAATGCCGCACCTTATCCCTCTGGTAAATCCTAGCTCCCCTATCAAGTACCAGCTCAAACACTACTTTCTCTGTGAAGAAAGCCTTTAGCTCCTGACAGCCTTACTTTCTTTCTCTTCTCTGTCCCCATACGTATCTGGCACACAGCCTTATTTAATGGGATTATTCATTTCCCACTAGACTGAAAGTCTTCTCCAGGACCCAGCATATTATCTCACACATAAAAGGTATTAAAATATATTTATGGAATATAAATGAATAAACTAATATTTCTAAATATCTACTACTTTTCTCGAGTAACTGTGTGCTATGGGGTGTGTATATGTTCCCAAAACAACGTGTACATACCCCCATCATAGTAATTACTGTATTTGTGATATAGTGTCTGTTTCTCCACTTGACTTACAATATCCTTGAATGCAGGTTTCATGTCTTTTCATATTTATATCTCTACAAGCTAGCACAAAGTTTGGCAAAAAGGAGCTCAATAGATACTTGACGAAAGAATGATTGAATTAAAATATGATGAAATAACACTACAGAGCAGAATCTTTTCTTATGTTTGGACTTTTAGACGGACTCTTCAGAGATGGCAAATCATTAGATTCTCTCTAGCCTCTGGGCACTGTGATGGTTAATCAAGAACAATGAAATCTGTATCTGTCTCTGTAATTTCTCACAGTCATCTTTCCTTCCCTCAACTGAAAAACTGAAGATAACAGTGGCTATCATATAAAACTTGCAAAATGTACTCTAATTAATTGAAAGAAGTTAGGGGAATATAAAGAAGGCAAACAAATAAAAACGAAAACAAACTATCCTTAGGCAAGTAGGCAAAATAATTTAGTAATAATAAATATATTAATGAAGGAAAAAATAGACAAATACTATAGGTGATATTTTGGGGAAAATCAATAAAACTGGAAATTCTGTATATGAATGGTGTGTGTGCGTGATTAGAAATGAGAAAAAATATAAACATAAACATGTTTTTATATTCTTTTGCTTCCTCATTTCTAATTAAATATAAATAAGAATATAAGCATGTAAAAACATTAAAAAAAAATAACATACTATGTACAATTCTATACAATTAAAATTTTAAAATACTGATTCCAAATATTCACAAAAGAGTAGCAAATCTGAATAGATCTATATATCCACAGGCTAAGTAGAACTGAAGAGAATAGTGCGTGTGTGTGCGCGCACGTGCACGTATGTGTGTATTCAAAAGTCATAGAAAATCTGAATAGACTTTGTAGATACAGGGAAAATTTTAAAGTTTTCAAATAATTACTTTGAGGAAAGGTGCCAAACACATTTTTCCCCAAACAATTCTATCTCATTTCCAAAGAACAGGGAATCTCTATGATATAATAGCTGCTCCAAGGCAAGAGAACATTGAGAAGCACCTCAGGCTATTTTATGAAGCTGCCTTAACCTGATACTTAAATCTGACAAAGACAGCACAACACGTGCACACAGACACGCACCAACACATGCACACACACACACCAATATTCCTTATGACTACAGATGTTTGAAAAAACCTCAAAACTAGAAAACTGAATGCAGTA